AGCAGCAACCTGTCACGGAATGTTGGTGGGCAGGTTCAGCCTCTGCTGCCATCCCACCAACAGCTGCCTCTGACATCAGGGCTGACATCACAAGATAGGAGGCATTACTTTTGGAGCAGCACTCATAGCTAGAATGAATTAGGAAGACATCCAAAAAAGGAAAAAGTGGCTGGTAATGCTTATTGTCTTTCTCAAAAAATGATTTTGCAGCAGTAGATCTAGCTGTGAACTGCTTCTATTACTGCTTCTGAACTACTTGTTCAGAACCTGTTTTTTTTAAACAAATGATCAGTAAGTTTTCTGTCCTTGAGGAAAGTATGTGTATAAGGAGATAACATTAAAAGGTTTAATTTTAACTAATACAGTAATTCTTAAAAATAAAAAAATTTCTCATGGTGAGGGCAAGAACGTGAATGCTGATGTTTGATTTGTCCATGTAACAAGCTTACAAGCAAACAGATATTCTTTTTTTAAAAAAGGTAATCAACAGATATAAGACTTAAAACATGGTTCCAATTTTGCGAAATGACTGCAAGCATGTCACCTATTTGCCCCCCAACTTTTTTTTAACTGGCTCTTTGGTTTAGTAACAAAAGCAAGTTTTTCTGTTTGCTTTTTTTTTGTTTGTTTTTTAAAGCTCTCATCAGCCTGGCACAGCTGGGGAGGAGGCAGCTGTGTTCAGCTCTGGCACATGCAGCACTTCAGCTAAATCCCAATTTCTGAATCTTTGTCAGTGGGGGGTTTATAACAGAGCACAAAGTGATACAAAGAGGAACTGCAAGGCCCAAGAGTATGCAGACCTGTAATTTGTTTATAGCGATCACGCGGTTGTTTCCATCAAGAATTATCTGTCTTTTGATATCACAGCAGTTCTGATTTCATTATAAGTTACCTGAGGAAAGAGTCCAATGCTTTTGTTAATTCCATCTTCATTGGTGGTGTTTTGACATTTTGTGTTTTACTTTTATAAGATATAGTTAGTATTTCTGTTTGATATTTTGAGTAGTATTTTAACCTGCAGTTTATATCTTATCTGTACTTTGATAATCCATCTCTTGGGTTAGATGTTAACCAGATTGCAGTTGTCATATTAGTTCTTTTTAAGGTTCTGCTTGGATTAAAGCTCAGAGTTAAAGAACGCTCTTTTTAACTTGTTTTTTTTCTATGTGAAAATCTGCATTTTCCTTCAAAAAGAATGCATTTGCAACTCCTCTAAGGTTTGGGACACTTGTATGATAATGATGAAGAACTGAGAGTGAGTAATTTAGAAATCCAGGATATGATTATGCTTTATTTTTCGCATTTTCTTCGTATGTAATTTAGAGAGTAATTTTCCCTTCTCAATAGATAAAACAGAGGAAAATCAAGGTCCTTCTGATGGCTGATATACATAGGCAAAAGAAATCTAAATCTGTAGGTTATGATGCCCTCCACTTGCTCTTGTCTCCATTGGTTTCTTGCCCTACCTTACGTCACTTCTCCCCATTGGAGCCATCTCTGGCTCACCAATTTCAGAGGTAGATTCAATTGATGCACCACTTCTTTGGGGGAAGATTCTCAGCCATACTGGTTGGGAACTTGATCAGTTCTCAAAGGAATTCAGAAAGTACAAGAATGGCATGAGGCCAGAAGGAGAGGGTTCCTTGACAGAAGCTGGAATCTTCCCTCTACATAATCAAGGGATAGGTAAATTGGCTGTAGTCAGCTTGGTAACTTTACCCTAACAGTGCCTGCCTTGACTGTCAGCTGAGCAAGGCCTTGCAGAGGCAGAGTTCTTAGGTCAGGGCAGGCAGTCAGTGGGGATGTGCATGTGTACTCAGTCATAATGAGGAATCCTTTTTGCCATGTTAGGTTAAACTTGCTACTAGACATTTGGTTATGTTCACCCACGTTGTTTTTCCTGTAGCAAACCATGACATAGTAATGTCTACGCCAAGATTTGCGGAACTGGTAGGCAAATAGTACTGAGAAAAAGACCAAAAAGGAGGTTTAGAGGCAGCAACAGCATAAGCACCACTTGCTGGGCACTTCCACCCTATGCTGTAGACACTCTTGCCATGCAGATGACTGAAAAGGACTTCTCAGTAAATGACTGGAGAGAAAGTTCTCTGGAATGCAGCATCCTTGTATCAGGCTGGCAGTCATCTTCTCCATGAATTTATGGTACTAACTTTGATTGTTTAAAAAAAAAAAAAAAAAAGTCCATTTACCTCACTGGAATTTCCATCTTTTGGAAGACAACACAGAATTGGAATTCTGGACTGATGCAGCAGCGGTTCCAGCCAGACGTGTTTGTCTGGCAAGGGCTGACAGCCACTTGATGCCAGGAAACACTTTGGGTTCCCTTCCTTGTGCTGACACAAGGCACAACTGGGGGTGCCACCTACTAATGCCAGTATAATTTCTCCTCCCCTAATTCAGATTAGTAGATAAATGGGTGCTATTATTAATTGACTGAATAATTTGAACTACTTCAGGGAGAAAACTGATGATGAGAGTGTAGGTGAAGGGTTGTCTCAGATACAGTTGCAGACAGCGTACATTGCAGTGCTATGGTTTGGGGCAAACTGTTTCAAATTCTTTTTATAGCTAGGGCATCTGAAAAAAAATCTAAATCCAACACTTTGCTGTAGAGGCCCTCTCTGGAATACCAAAGTAAACTGCAGTGTGGATTAAGAGCAAGAGGATTATTTCTTCAGCAGAATAATCTGTGAATTGTGTTTACGCTGACTAAAGACAGCTTCTGCAAATGCTTTAAAATTGCACTCTTTCTTGAAATCTGCTCTTTCAGTGAGCGAAGGCAGGTTGCCTTTACTCCTTTAATAATGCAAGATGGAGCACTCGAAGTGTTAAGGTAGTGATGTAACCTACAGGAGGAAGATGTGATGTCAACATCTCTGCAGCGGCACACCTCTGTGCTCCTGCTCACATAGCTTCCAAAAACGATAGCCCAGAAAGCTGTGGAAAATTGTAGGCAACTGTACCAGCTCTCACTTTTTTCTTTTTCCTAAGAGCCAAACTGGCCTTTATGCGCTATTAATTTATTAAATTGTTTATCTTAGGGCAAGACTGTATTTACAGAACCTAACGTGAAAACAGCATAGTGTAGCTTGGGATTTAAAAATGTCAGCCTTGTCCCAAAGACAATAGAGACACTGCTTTTCTTCTTCCTACCTTAATCACTGTAGGTATCTTATTTTGAAATTGTTTTCACCTTCCACCAAGGAAAGGTCAAGCTGGAATATAACTGTCTTAAAATAATCTTTACATAGTAGGATTTCTTAGACTCTTTGGACAAAGACCTTGTTTTCCATTTTGAGCAATCTTTTTTCTGCAATAGAACACTGAATGTGTCTCCCTGTTGCTATAGAAATAGTATTGCGTTAAATGAGGGAACCAGTGCCCTGCTGTCAACAAAACTAGTCTCTGGAGCTTGAATTTCACCACTGGGAAGATGTATACACAATTCTACAAATTATTTCTGCAGCTTATGCATAAATGTCTCTATACTCTGAAACTGTTATCTAAATTTCCCAAAGTGATAGCAAGTGGATTAGCATGGTGTAATCTGTTTACTCATCTCCTAATTAAGACTTCCCCTTCATCTTTTCCCTATCTCCCTCCCACACAGAATATATTTTTGTATTTATAGACTGAAATTTCCAGTTCTTTACATAGGAAGGTGAGGAGAAGGAGGGCAAGCAGCTTTCTCACCAGGCTCCCTGACCCACAGACAGTAAGAAATACTGGATTTAATCTTTTTTTTTTTTTTAAACCCAGCTCCTCCGAGTAACTCAAGATGTTACTTGCCCTGTTATTTTGTTTTCCAGCACTAATAAGGATTTTTTGAAAGGATGGCCCAAACTCACCATCCACCTTGTACATTAAAAATCCCGCATACCCACCTGTTTTCCTCTAGTTCCAAGACACGCCGTATACCCAGTATTTCTAAGTTACACTGAGATTTTGCTCTGAAACCTTTCTATTCTGTTCATAAGTTAAAGATGAGCACTGTGGATTCCCTTCCCTTGAACAAACACAACACATATTAAATCTCACACTTGTCTTTACATTTAGATGTATGGATGTGATATTTTTCAGTAATTTTTTAAGTGTCAAATTCTACTAATTCTAGTAACAGCAATAAGGTACAAGGTGTATCTTTTGGAAATAGAAAAGGAATTGAAGTCTTTACTAAAAACAGCTACCAAGGGTAAGTATTTCTCAACATTAATCATAAGAATTTTGAAGAAATATGGATAAAAATGCATTTTGTCTGGTACATTTTTTTGACAGGAGTCCCTGCATTGCATTTCAGTGTATAATACATATATGGAGTTACAAAACTAGAACATGGACTTGTACGCAAATGTGTAATTCTGATGTCAGAGTTCCTGTAAAATTCCTCTCATTTCTTCGTTAACAAATTCAGTTATTTTTTGTGAAACATGCTTATTAGAAAATGGTTTTGTCAGAAAGAAGTCACCACAAGACAGTAATTCCATTTTTGCTGTTAAATTAGTTCTTCTAATGAAAAAATGAATGAATTTGTTTGTGCAACCATAAAATATAAACCACATCTTAACCTGTTTCTTTCCTTGTGTAAAGCTGACTCACACCATACAGTGTGGCTGCATTTTTCTCCAGATTGTCAGACTATAGATGACAAGAACTGGCCCGCCAAAGCTTTTCATGCAAAACATTGAATATGAGGTCATCTACTGCTGTGTGATCTGTTGGTTCCTCTCCAGAGCATTACTTAATGAAAATTTCAGAGAATGGCTGAGTAATTGATAAAGGAGGGGGGAAAAAAACAGGAAGGAAGGGGCTGTGCGAAAATATAAAGTGAAGATATATTCCCTATTCTGTATCATTACAAACCTAATACTGAATATTTTCTTACTGTATATGGTATTTCCATTAACAAAAACAAACACTGAAGGTAGGAGAAGATAGCATGAACAGTAAAACGTGGTTTTGTGGTGTTTTCTTTTCTGTAGGAACCCAGTGGAGAAAGGACCAAGAGCAAGATTTAAAGAGCGTTCTGAAAAACACTGACCAGGACATCCCGTTGGTATTTGTCAGTGGAAATCATGATATTGGCAATACTCCAACAAGAGAAACAATAGATAATTATTGCAAGAGTTGGGGAGATGACTACTTCAGCTTTTGGGTAGGAGGTGTTTTCTTTCTTGTGCTGAATTCTCAATTGTACTTCGATTCTTCCAAATGCCCAGAGTTAAAGCAAGCTCAGGACGCATGGCTAAATGGGCAGCTGGCTGCTGCCAGAAAACATAAATGCAAGCATGTAATAGTGTTTCAGCACATCCCTCTGTTTTTGAGAGAGCCTGATGAAGACCATGATTATTTCAACTTGGAAAAATCAGTTCGACATGAGATAATGGAAAAGTTCCATAAAGCAGGTAATTTCTTGAGTTCTCCTTTCTCTGAATTTTTGCTTCCAATTGTTAGTGGCTACAGTGTCAGGAAAACAACAAAACTTGCATAGTACTGTTTTCAAGAAGTTTGGGGTACTGTTTATAAGACTTGTTCCTCTTAGGTCAAAATTATCAACCAAACCCTAACATCTGTCAAAAGAACCCAAAATAGTTTAAAACTTTGGAAAGAAAAATAAGTGAGAAACTTTTAAAAGATGTAGCACAGATTTCACTTTGCAAGTACTGGCGAATACTAGACAACCTGATTTGATTTTTTTTTTTCTGCTTAAGGAATGGAAGATCAGGTATTGCCATATGACAAAAGTACAGATTCTTCCCCCCCCCCCCATAAAACAGAAACAGAATTCGGAATTACCTTGCAGGCTGTTTTCTCTCCCAGTGAGCCAATTTTATAGCATCATCCAGATTTATTCAGTGCTAAAGAGTCTTGCTCTGCTAAGATCCACCCTCTTTTTTATCTGTTCCTAATAGAGGTCATTTCTGGGAATAAAAGGCAGGTAGAGCATGCTTTGAATGAGAATATTGTAGCAAATCCCTTAGCTTTGTGTGATGAAACTTGAATGCCATGGAGACAGGTACACTGTGCAGCCACCTCTCCACATTGTTCCCACTGTTTCCTGCTAATTGCTTTCATGTTTCTGAAGTGTGCTAGTCCCTCAAGATTTCCTGCCAGCCTGTCATCACTGCATCAGTGTCATTTTCTCTGTATCTATGAAAGAACAAGTTATTTGGATTACCAAACAATGGAAATTGCATATGTTATTGTTCCTAATTTACCATGTAATTGTTAAGCCAGAACTCATCCAGAGCCAGTCTAATTTTCCAAGCTATGAATTTCCTCCTGTTTCCAATCAGTCAGGCCAAAATTCATAAATATCTGAGGGCTCTTCAGGAGACTGACATCTCGAGATTCCAGACTTAGAAGATTGTTCTTTTCCCGCAAGGAGACATGCTGAGCATACCTTATATTTTGTATTAAGATATTATAAAGAAATTATTTTTGGTCACGAGTATTTTGGTTAGGAATTTTGGTTTTATTACACAAAAAGGGAGACTGTGTCTTCTTTATTTCAAGAAGTCTTTCACTTCCTGCTCTCGCACTCTCCACCTCTCCCTTTGCTGTTTGTCATGATGCTGTCTTGCAGTGTTTCCACCCACTTTGGCAGACCAGCATGTAGTTATGAAACATTTCAATATAGTTCATATATTGTGTATATTTGTGTATATTTTAGGGCTTGTTGGCTTTGGGAACACACTGTTAGTAGGGTGCACGTTGTATTTCCATTGTTAATAACACAGGATCAGACCTGGTGCTATCCCAGTTATCAAGACTTTGTGTTGATACTTTTAAGTTTATGGTATCAAACATGGAGCCACCACGCACAGAGAGAAAGATAGAGGGACAGATGGGGAAGAAAGGACAATCTAAGGATTTCAGTCTTTCCATAAACTAAGCCAAGTGGGTCTTTTGGGAAATAACAAATACTTGAAGTATGGTGGTGTTACATGGAGGCTTCAGAGGTATGCAACTTCAGGAAACAACTGTTTTAAATTCTGAGCCCAAATCATATGTAAGTGGTTAGAATAGAATAACTAGACACTGCAGAATGTTTTTGGTTCAAGTATCCCCTCAGTGCAAGCAGAGATAAAAGACTAGCTGTACAGGTTACATCCGGTACAAAGTACTGAATTACATTCTCACATTAGAAGTGTCCTTAACAGTTGAGGTACTTAAAGAGAAATTCATGTCCTTGTGATAATTATTTACAAATTGAAAATCTGACACTTGTAAATATGTATTACTACTACACAAAGTTAACCTATATTTCTAATCAGCATGTCTAAATAATTTTACTAATCTCATTTTTTTCCAAATCATTATAACAAGTAATGTCCCTGGAAAAAAACGATGTCAGAGGTAGTGAAAATCTACTCTGTTGAGAGCACAGTTTATCATTTGAGAATGCATTTGTGAAAATGTATTTCTGTAACTACTAAATGTTTAGCCTCAGTTGTCAAAGGTTGTGTGAACAATTTTTTGAATGAGGGTGAGGTCTGCTCTTCTATGTGAAATGCATATTCAGTTCTTAAGAATTTTATAGTGATGTTATAAAGAAGCGTGCTTTGTAGGGGAAAAAAAAGGAATCCAGGTACTAGTCTAGCTGAAAATCTGATCTGTGTGCCAGACGTACATATATCTCCTCCAGGTGTAGTTTAATTAGCCCATTGCAGCCATTTTCTATGACCAGAAAGGTATGTGTGTTTTTGCTGAGCTACGGACGATTTTTTAAAGAGTTGTTGCCTGTGAGTCATTGCTGAGACACTGAAAATCCTTAGTACATAATCCTTAGTAGTCACACAACATAGTAAAAACCCTAATTATGCAAAACATGAGGGCTGAGCTGAAAGTTATGCCTCCTGTTTTGTTACATCAGCCCTGATGTCAGCGGCAGCCGTTGGTGGGATGGCAGCAGAGGCTGAACCTGCCCACCAACATTCCGTGACAGGTTGTTGCTGTGTGACAGATGGCAGCAGAGGGGCACTGGGACAGAATGGCGCCTGACATGGAAGCGTGGGGGGAGCGAAGGGTGGAGCTGAATTCTTCCATGGAGAAAAAAGGGCCTCCAGTGACTTCCATCAATAGTTGCTCGGTATCCATAAATGTTCACAGTGGCTGTGAGCCCAGGGGGGTGCAGGTGAGTGTTTCAACAGTGGCAGTCACTTTCACTGGTGCAGATTTTTACAAGCGCTGCCTGCAGGCTCTTGTTCATCAGTAGTGAAAACGCACCCCTAATGGTGGTATTATGTTGAAGAATAGTGTTTTGTAGCTGAGAATTGCTGTATCAAATAGTGTTACTGAACTCATTATGTATGCTGTAGTTTCCATGGAAATACATAGGAAGCATCACTTTCAGAGCAGCCTACAAACAAGTTTGAGATCTTGGCTGAATAAAACCGAGGTTGATGGCTCCTTTATCACCAACAAAACTGATAAAAGAATTCAGCGTTCAGAGCAAGATGATGATGATGAATACAGGTTGGCTATCAACGCAAGAGTCTTGTTTCAGAATTACAAGATAATGCATATAAAATAATGGAAGGAAGATCCTCATAGCATCCAGCTTTTTTAATTGAAAAGTTATAAATTCAGCTAAATGTCGTCAAAGTAATTTTTCAGATGTGATGGAAAACACTTGAATTCATACGTGCAGGAAAAAGTAACTTTACTATATGTCTTTTTTCATTACATGTGGTGATTCTAAATGCTGTAACTTCTAACATCTTTACTCATTAAAAGAGCATAATAGCTTCATGCTCCTCTTAGATTTATTTTTTTTACGTAAGAGTGATATTACAGGAGAAGCAGCTTTCTGAACATCATCAGCTGAGATATATTTGAGTACCAAATTAAAGCAAGGAGTGTTACCAGACAACTTGTACTGTGTTTCGCTATTTTCTTTGTTGTGTAATCAGAATAGACAAGGGGTAATATTTTCTTCTTCTTGCCACTGATTTTGGTAAAGCCTACACACCAAGTGAGTAATCTTAGCACTCTCTCATGTCGCTGTCAGTATTTAAGATAACGTAGATTTACGTATTTCAGCTTCAGTGTCTAGAATTACTATTACAATGAAATTATATATATGTGTATGAGTTCATGCTACAGGCAAAGTGACCAAATTTGATGTATTTTATTTATCTGCATAAGAACATTGTTTTTTAAACCGTGCCCTAGGTATGACAACATAACACATAGGTAGATGCAGACTTGTGGGGTTTTTTTTGTTTTTTTGTTTTTTTTTTTTTTTTTTTCCCAGAAATTCAGTAAGGAAATACTGCAAAACATTAGCATAATTCATAATGAGAATAAATAACATTTGTTCTTAGATAAATGAATGTTTGAAGTTTGTTTTTTCCTCTGGGCTGTAGTTTTGATTGGTAAAAACTTCTCAATCTTTAAGAGCACACAGCAAGCCAGGGTAGTCCAGGGTTTCTATCAGATATCTTAGAAAGTTTGGCTTTCAAATTGAGAAAGTAACAGAATCAATAAATAAATTCCACTGACAGGCCACATAAGGCATTCATGAAGATTAATCCAAAGCATGGAATGACCTTCTCCAGATTGCACCCACAGTGGCTTATTTAGCCATCCAAGGTCTGCAGTCACCCTCTGGCTGTGCTCGCTGCCTCTTCTCTGCTTACACAGAAGACACGAGTGCGGATAAGGGCCTTTTCTAGATAACTGCATTCAGTGTTGTCCTACATAAAACTTTTGTCATAGATAAATTTTGCAGACTAGAACCCCAAGGAAATGTTATGAAGCTGTGTTAGGGGAGAGCCAAGCTGGATATCAGGAAAAGCTTTTCATTAGAGGGTGATCAGGCAATGGAACAGCCTCCCCAGGGTAATAGTCGTGGCTCTAAGTTGCTGGAGTTTGAGGTGCATTGGGGTGCTCCTGTGTGGAGCCAAGGGCTGGAATAGATGACCCTGGTAGTTTTTTCAAACCCAGGATATTCTGTGGTTAACGTTTATCTCCCACTTTCATCAGTTGCATCAAGCTCTGGATTTTTTTAAATTGATAAAGCAAGTTTAAGGATGTTTTCCTGCAAGTTTCTAGGGTCACAATCCCTAACAATGTCATGTTTTTTGCTAAGATTCTTGTGGTGCTGCGAACTATAATTCTACGTTTCAATTCTGTATTATTCAGAGAACACCTCTGATGAAGAAGGTAGAATAATACAGAGCTTCTAAAAGGCTACATAAAATAATTTCATAATGTTGCTATTTGAGGCTGGAGGGATTACAAAACAAAGGCTGCTTATGCCCTGACACACCTACCAGATGGAATATTTCCTTCTCATAGAGGTCTGTTAGTGGGATCGGGATCTTTGTAGAGCAGAGTCTGAGAATTACCCGAGCACTGAACAGTCCTGTTAACAGAGCTGTGACTGGTGCTTCACATC